GAAATCTCTGGCACCATTTTTGTTTAGTCTCCACTTGCCTTAGGAGTTATGAATAGAAAATCAGTTATGGGTCAATCATGAGATCACCAAAGAAGAACCATTTTTTGTGCTAACCAGCTCAAAAGCTGATGATTTTGATACATATCACTCAAGCCCATAGAGACCATACAATAGGAGCGATGACTCCTTTGCCATTTTTTCAGGCTCTAAATTTTAGTTGTTGTTCCTGAATCTATGTCTACAACAGAGATTCCTGATAAACCTAAACAAAATAGAATATCAATCAAATTCATTTAGAAACTTCAAAGATGATCAATTTTCTATGCCAAACTGTTCAGAATGTTCCATTGATGATACTCAGGTAGAAAACTTGAGTCCTTGGAAAACAAGGAAGGAAGATGGTGAAATCTTTAGCACAGTTTCTATTTAGGCCCAAATTATTGCATATGAAACAGAGATCATTGATAGCATAAACAAACCAAAAGATCTTTTTGTGGCTCTTTTTGATGCTATTGAAACCCGTGAAGAAGATGCTTTACATCAAGAAATAGCAAAAGGCAATGAGATTGATAAATGCATCGATAGAGTGGGATCTAAAATTGAGCAAATAAATCAGACGAAAATAAGAGATGAATCAGATTCTGTTTTCGACATCGATGAATCGCAGCTTACCAGTAGAACAACATCAACCCATTAAAGGGAATCATGATGTGCGTGAGTTTGATATCTCATGGGAAAACAGGTTGGACAACCCCATCGTCGCAGACCTATTTTCGCCCCTTTTAAACCATTTATGGCCATGCATTTGCAAGACGAACCCCACCTTCTAGACCGAGACCCACCATGGTCGTTCATTGATGGAAGATCGTTGGAAAAGAACTGATGTAAGCCAAAATCTTATAGAGAGGGGAGAAAGAATTAGACTGTAGCAATTGGTTTATGGGTTTAGAAGTTGAGAGAGAGAGAGAGAGAGGTGGGACCCTTTAATATTAAATAATTTTTTAAAATAAGGCAAATCTTCATAAATGGTCCCTGTGGCAGTGAAATGACAAAAATACCCTTCACTTAACGGCTAAAAGCTAACGGAGTTAGCGAAAATGGTCATTTGTTAAAAGTTTTGAAACCACAGGGATCATCTGTGGGGTTTTTTGAACTTAGTGACTAAACTTGATATTTTCGAAAACCATAGGAACCATTTTTGAGGTTTTGTCAAATATGAAATTACCTTGGTGCCAAGTAGATAGAACATGCATAGTTTACCAATTGATTCTCCATTACAAACTGCAATGATATGTGATAAAAAAGAAACTCATCTTCATATTTAATAGACAAGGTTCATTTTTGAAAATTTGAAGATTAGTTATTAGAATAATTTATGAAAAGAATTTAATATTTTAAAAGAAAATGACCAAAAGACTATTATATACAAGATCAGAGCTATTTAGTAGCTAATTTAATATAAACATAAATAATTAGACCTTGTGTATATGAAAGATTGATGGTAGATTAAAGATGTTGCAAAAGACAAAGTTAACTGCATGTCCTTATATTAGTTTTTTTTTTTTAACAACAAATGATTAAACGGAAGCCTACTCGCATATTTTAACGAATACCCCGAGTTCGAGCTCCTTTATAGGGTAAACCTAGCCCTCATAGGGGTTTAAGGGAGAATTTTCCCACATGTGCCACAAGTTTAAGAGGCACCCAAATTGGGTTTTGCAGGGATTGAATTCCGACCTCTATCCCCACGTGGGTATTAAACTCAGTACCTCTTTCCAGCTAGGCTCGAAGTTATTGGTTGTTATTAGCTATTTAAGATGAGATTTTCTGCTTCTTTCAAAAAAAAATTACAAAATTTGATCTTTTTATACTCTTAAAAGCATAAAACTTAGTGAAAACTTCATTACAAGTACAACGATTTGACATATTTTCCGAGACAGACATAAATCTTAACAAATCTTTGCATTGATATCGGAATATGATCATCAATATGATAGTCATAAACAAGTGCATCTATGATTCAATCTCCAATGAAACATAACTTCTCGTATCATTATCAAATCAAACATTATTTAAAACATTCACACTAAGCAAATTATCACAATAACAAAATTTGAGTTTCATGTTTGTTATAATCATAACCAACGATGATGCTATTAAGTGCAAAGTCATATGATCGGTTTTTTCTGTCATCTATTCGCCTGAGAAAAGTCATCATTACCATCAATTTGAATTGATTAGAAAGCTGCTAAATCTGAAATCACATTATTGAAAAAAAAAAATCATTCCTAGTTTTTCCGAAAGCCAAGCAAATGTGAAATTTGCCGTTTATAAACAATATACGTGTTTGTTGGACCAATGTTCATTTATCAAGGCTCTTTCGTCAAGCTGATAAAACCTCAAGGGTGTCTTCTGAAACGTTTCTTTTATTTAAACCACCTATCACCTATGCATTCTGAAGGGGATTGAAGAAACAGTCCATCGCACGCAAGGAGATTGAGAGAGTAAACGCTTGTTTCAAGTGAAAAGCCTAGGGCTGTTTAACCCGATCGATTCAGGTCTATAATCTATATCTTTCTCCTTTTGATCCAATCAATGCATGTGCGTATGGATTATGTTTCGATTATTGTCCTCGAAAAAAATAATGATTATCGCGGTTTCATTTTGATTTTCGATATAGCTGCATTATAGAATGATGTATAGATCTGTGGATTACATTCTTCTGCGCTTTCAATTCGGTTCATTTTATTCGATTTTTCCTTTGAATTTGAGCATTTATCTATGTTGCATGTAATTTTTTTTTTTTCACTTATTGAATGAAAATCCAAAATTTTGGCTGTTGCTTGGATTCGAGTTCTTAATTCTATTAAGCACTGAGGATGGAATCTAATGTATGATTGTGTTCTTACCTTGCTCATAATTTTTGCGATTAATGCTTTGGGAGAACTTTTTAGATTTTCTCTGCTTTTCTTAATATAGTCACAGACGGATGATAACTGTTGAAATAGTTTTTCGGCAGTGATGTTATTAAATACCTACTGTTACATCTGCTTGGATGTAGTTTCAATAGGATATTTTCCAGTAAAACGATGAATTGTTTATTTCAATCGACGAATAGATCTGTGAATTACAGTCCTAAGCTTTCAATTCGTTTATTTCATATTTTGTTGTCGAGGTTCTTAAGCTTACATAATCATTGATATCATCGACAAATGGCAATTGCTCAAAGATATAAACACCTGTATATTGCTTTCAAGTTTCGATAAGTAATTTCAATAATTGATGCTTCATATTAAACATCTTGCAGGTTGAAGGATCCGGTGAAGAGGTAAAATGGGAGCAGGAGGATGTATGTCTGTTTCTGAAACAAAACCCGAAGAAAAGAAGAATCCTTTGAAGCGAGTCCCTTGTGCAAAACCTCCTTTCACAATCAGCGATATCAAAAAAGCCATCCCTCCCCACTGTTTCAACCGCTCCCTCACCCGTTCCTTCTCCTACGTCATTTACGACCTTATTATCAGCTTCCTCCTCTACCACATCGCCACCACCTACTTCCACCGCCTCCCAACGCCTCTCTCCTCCCTCGCATGGTTAGCTTACTGGGTTGTTCAAGGCTGTGTTCTCACCGGCGTTTGGGTCTTAGCCCACGAATGCGGTCACCACGCATTTAGCGATTACCAATGGGTTGACGACACCGTGGGCTTTCTCCTCCACTCCGCCCTCCTCGTCCCTTACTTCTCATGGAAATACAGCCACCGTCGCCACCACTCCAACACCGGGTCACTCGAACGCGACGAAGTGTTCGTCCCAAAGCCCAGATCCAAAATCCCATGGTACTCAAAATACCTAAACAACCCACCGGGCCGAATCATGAGCCTGTTCGCCACCCTCACTCTAGGCTGGCCGTTATACCTAGCTTTCAACGTCTCCGGCAGACCCTACGACCGTTTCGCCTGCCACTACTCCCCCAACAGCCCAATCTACAACGACCGCGAACGCCTCCAGATCTGGCTCTCCGACGTCGGAATCATCACCATGTCTTTGTTCCTCTACCGTGTTGCTGTATTGAAAGGCGTGAGTTGGGTTATTTGTGTCTACGGGATTCCGTTGCTGATTGTGAATGGCTTCCTGGTTTTGATTACTTACCTTCAACACACACACCCGTCGTTGCCGCATTATGACGGGTCGGAATGGGATTGGCTGAGGGGGGCGTTGGCGACGGTGGATAGAGATTACGGTGTGTTGAATAAGGTGTTTCATAATATTACAGATACACATGTAGTGCACCATTTGTTTTCAACGATGCCTCATTATAATGCGATGGAGGCGACGAAAGCTGTGATACCGGTGCTTGGGGAGTATTATCAGTTGGATGAGACGCCGTTTTATGTTGCCATGTGGAGGGAGGCGAAGGAGTGTTTGTTTGTGGAAGCGGAGGGAGAGGGAGGAGGAGTGTTTTGGTATAAGAATAAGATGTGAATTAAGTAATTAAAGATTAAAGATTAAAGATTAATGATTAAGGAATTAAGGTTAGGTTGTGTTTTTGTTTTTGTGGTTGTGGTTTAAATGTAGTGTTTGAGTGTTTGGTATTTTGTTAGTTTAATGAACATGGAGTAGTTCCTTCTTTTAAGACAAGTGTGAAACAACCACCAAAGAACTTTAGGTCCATCATTGAAAAGGTCTCTCAACCAAACCCGTATTATCCATGAATTCGTGTGGGATGCAATTACATTCCGTAATTGTACAGATAGTATTTAGATGGTGCCATTTTGTCACATAGCGATAATGATATGTTGTTGATGTTAATGGTACCTTGTACTTGCTTAAAAGTTACGAATTTATATTTTCAAAACGAAAAGATTTATCAATAAAGTCATCATATTAAAATTGGCTTCTAGTAAAATTATATTTTCCTAGTGTTTGTTGCTCACATTAATTACGTGTGGTTGTCAGTTAATTTGATTTAAAACCTATATAATTAGAACAAATCTCAAACTTCTGTGGCTACTTAATTTATTATTTTACTAGGAAGAAAACAAAGGTCGCACGCAACTTAAAAAATGTACACATAAAAGAGTAATGGTAGAGTAGAAACAAGATGAATCCAGTCAAAAAAAAAAAAGAAAGGGAGAGAGCGTAGCAGCTTAGCTATATACACATTTACAGATTAAAATCAGCAAAAAAAAATATGGATGGCTGTAGCCTGTAGATAGAGGTATGATCTCAAGCAGAAAATTAGAAAGGTCAAGTGCATAAACCAGATCTATCTTCCTGACTGAGAGTGAGAGATCAAGGCATACAATTGTTTTGCAGTAAAGCTTGCTTCTGAAAGGTTTCTGAGAGGAGCTGCAATCTCATCGCCAATTGTCATCAATACCTCCATGCAATCTGCAACTCATTTGTCAGTCTGTCTATTCATTACACTTTACAAACTGGTAGGGATTCATTCTTGTCACAAATAGCATGGTTAATATTGATATACTTTAAGTTGAGAAGAAAACACTAACCTGGGATTTTGCTAAAATTTAGCAGAGACGCTGCAGCAAGAACCTTGTGCTCTACCCATTCACTATTTTCAATGGTTTCTTTCAGTTTTGTGATAAGAACCGAAAAGGTAGACGATTTTGCTTCAGAATCAAGTAAAAATGAAGCAAGTGAAGAACTTAACCACACCACCGTTGTCAACCCCACCTTCATCATCTCCCTATGTCCACAACTCAAACCCTGAGAAAGCGATTCCAAAAACAACTTCTTTCCATCACCAATTAGAGATTCCGACAATTTCATTAACCAGTCTTCAACAGCCTCTTCCTCCTCAGTATCCTACATTCATAACCAATTTCACACTCGTCCCAAAACATATACTGTAATACTTGCAGAAAGAGAGATCAAATTACCATCAATACATTGTCTTTGATTGTGATTTTATCGTCTGAATCAGGTCTATCAAAGAAACCAGCTTTCTTTAAGATCCAATCCTCTGTCATGACCTTCCCAGAGAAAGAGATTCGCCCTCCCAAGATAAGGAGTGCCTTGCAACAAGCTTCTCGCACCTTTTCATTACAAAGGCTGGCATCCATAGCAGATGAAATGGTATCAACAGCTTCCTCTCTGTATATACTGTACTTCTCTTGTTGATCCACCTGTTAGTTTGCACGTATGTTTATAACTAATTTTAGTATCCTCTCAACAGAAGCAAACAGGTTAAACAACAAACAAAGCATACCATTAGGTCCAGGTGTAAAAGGAGCACAGCAACCACGGGTTTTTGCTCTGGTGAACAGCTCTGAAGAAAGAGTAGCAAAATGTGCATCGAGCTCACTATACCTTCCTTGTGCAAGCCATTTAAGAAAAACTGGACATCTTTTCTCCTTGAGTTCACAAACATGGACAAATGTTATTAATTTAACAGAAAGAAGAACACAGAGGTTTGAAAGTTGAAACTGAAATACCTGTTCAGACAAATGAGATCAAACAGCAGAAACACAGCATTTGCTCTTGCTTTTACTACCTTACAGTGAAGCAACTCAAGCAGACACTGCTTCTCAATGTGTCTAGCCACATGATTCCTGCAACTAGGGTCTACTTTAATACAGTGGGACAGCAATGCAGCTACACGTGTCTTCTCATCCAAATTTCCATACTCAAATCTTTGAATGAGAAACTGTAAACCCCCGAGAGCAAGTAACTGTTTGGCATTTGCTGTATTTTCCTCTGTGCCAAAATCAGTAAGAAGCTGCTCTAATATGAAAACAGTTGCTTCAGCTTTATACTTCTGTTCCCCATGGCTTCCTGTGGGCTGAGAAGCAGATTCTAATATCTCCCTACAGTGCTTTGATTTCCAGCCATCGATCACTCGCTTCAAGATAAAGTTTGTGAATGGAACAAAATGGGATTCAAGAGTTTTCCCAGTTACAGGACATGTTGTGTTGCCTTTATTAAACCATTGTACAATAGCTTCACGCTCATAGGTTTGACCAGTCTCTATAGTCACAGGATCTTCAAAAAGAAGTCCAGTTAAAGGGCATACATAATCCTCAGGGGTATTCAAGTAAAAGCACCCTCCTCCATCACCATATGGCCTTGTTTTCATTGGCTTCATAAAAAAATTAGAGAAATATACTTTTAGGGTGAATAAAAACAAAGGGCATAAACCATAAAGTTTTGCACTTAGGACCAATGTTTGTTTCAATATAATTACCGAAAAATCAGGATATTTTGCATCATCTAAATCAACAGATTTCTCGGATTGTTGCAGTGCGAAAACATATGTTGCTAGCCTCTTGAGAGTAAGTTCATTGACTTTTGCAACTGGAAGTGATTCCAACATTTTAGTACTCTCCAAAGCTTCTTCTTTTGCTATTATTACATCCTGCTACAATGGAGAATATTAAAGTGAAACGACTAATGACATGCTGAATCAAAATCTAGGACTAAACTTACCTGATAAGGTACCACATCCCCTTTAACATCTAAATCTTTGTATATATCTTCTTCCAGAGGGTATGCCAATGTCCTTTTATCTTCCACTACAGACTCATCAAAGCTACATATATCATCATCTGATCTTTGTGAATATTGATAGTCTTCCACTTCAGCAGTTACTGGCTTATTCATCTGCCCAAATACAGAATCATATAACTTCTTGCTGACCATAGACTGTGATGAAAATGGTGGGCTATCCTCATGCTGAATCCCCTGAACAGAAACAGATGGAGCATGGATGGAAGGAATTGAGGGAGCATCAACACCATCTGTGAGCCAATCTTTATAGTACAATGCAAATTGGTAAGTACCCGTATCCAAAATCTCATTATACACTTTCTTAAGTTGCTTTAGCTTCCTTGTATTCTGTGGGTCATCAGATAAAGATTCAACTTCTTGGTTATACCACTCTTCTAGATGTGATAAATGAGGGTGAAATACAGTTTCCCATAACTCAGGTACCAATATGGATCGAGCTGCAGATGGTGAATCACAGAAAATCTGCAAAAGATGCTTAGCTGCTATCCGTTCTTTCTTTTGTAACTGATATACCACACTTAAGTACAAGTGGCCACAAGCTGAAAGAATGGAATTAGGAATTCCGGAGGTAATTCCATCCTTTAGATCATTTGCATTTAGACCTGTGATCACACTAAGCTGTAAAGAAGCTTTTTTGAGCTCTTTTGTAGTGGCGCGATTATCTGCAGCTTTTTCAACTGTTTCTATGGCTTGATCAAGATTCGATATAACTTTGCTTTCAGCAACTATTTCTTCTTCTAGCTTAGAAAAATTAATAGCAGCAAAGCAGTTGTGGTACATTGATGTCCTGAAATCTTGATCTTTGAGAAAACTTTTAATGTAACCACTCAAAATAGATGTCATTGCTTTGATTGCAATGTCATCAAGAGCTACTTCGTGTACAGATTCAATATCAACTGGTCTTCGAACCTTAGTGTCCTTGTTTTGTGTGCTTCTGTTTGATCTGGTAGATGATGAACCAGGTTGATTCACATCTTTCTGATGATTAACATAGCCATTATCAATCTGAACATCTTTCCCTGAGATGTCCATGTTATCATACTTCTCTTCTTTCTTGCTCATTGGAGGGCTAAACACTCCATTTAGATAAATATCTTTGTACTTTCCTTTATCTGGTCTTCTGTCATTGACTTTCTGCTTGCCTTCTTTGACCTCAACTATCTCATCGAGAGAAAATGGTTGTGATGAATCGATACTGTATCGAGGAACATCACGTGTGTCTTGAGAACCTCTTCTAATATGTCTTTCCCTAGTTTCATTCCTTGAACCTCTATCTAGTTTTTCCCTTTTCAGAACATCTACTGATCTCCTGCTCTTGAGTTTATCAGTTAAGGGAGATTCAACACGCATATCATATCTACGGGTATCTGAATATGCCCTCTCTGTCTTTCTCAAACGGGTTGAAGGACCACGAAGCGGGTGGGTTGGAATTGATGTTACGGGTCCGGAGGAAGCTCTAGTCATTCTCTTTGAGCTACTGCTTTTGAAACCCTCCTCTGTAAGAAGATCCTCCAGTGACATTGCCATTTAGAAAGGTTGAAGCTTTTTGGTATGAAATCCTGTTTGAACCAAGAAGACTCGTTTCATTAAACCAATTGATAAAGTCCACTAATATACATCTCATTCATATATGCAATTCAATAGACGCAGGACTTCTTGTGTATATGATAGACAAAGATAATATAATATAAAAGCTTGAGGAACTACAAAATGTTCAAAGGGGGGCTAGATAATTGGTTATACAATCCACTTTCGTGACCATGTTGCCATAAAATATTAAGTGAAAGGTTGTATAGTTTGTATTACAATACTCATGATCTCTTACAGAAGTGCTAGCATCAAAATTTAGGTGTAAAACTACTAAAACTAATCAAAACAAATGAGGCCCTATAACCTTTAAAACCAGTTTAGTCATTTATGCATTTTCTCAAACACATGATGTGCACTTTATAACTTGTACAAAAAAATTGAATACTCGTACGGTTAACTTTGATCTTCTCGGTACATATAAACACGAACTGAACATACCACAGGAACATAAAACGGTTTCCAGCAAAGCACTTCCGATGATCGGAGAGGAAACTGCAAAATTGAGAAAAGGGTAACAAGAAAAATGTAATATTGGCGAAAATTTTGAAGAAACGAGTGAGTAAAGGCGATTGGCTATCAGATATAAGAAACGGTGGCATGATTAAGACAAATGGAGATGCAGACAGGGAGGCAATAGAGAGTGAGACAAATGGAAGACGACAGAGCAAGTGTGGTGAAAGTATTAAGAATGAGGTTATGTTGCCGGCCGAATCAATGGCATGTTTGAAGTTTTCCTAAGTTTCGAGAAAGCCGACCTCATCTCGGTCGTTGTCGCATTGTTCTTCAAGTGTGACCAGTTCGGCAGTTGAATTAAGCGGACTCATTTCACTTTATATGTAACCTCCCTCTGTTATTTCTCTTGTCATTTTTTGTTCTTTTTATGTGTTTTTTAGTTCATAAATTATTTTTAATTTGAGTATATTTTACTTTTTTATTTTTTTATTCTCTACTATCTATTATTTTTTGGTTATTTTTAATTTTTTATTATCATTATCGCTATTATAGTTTTCATTAACTATTTATTATTGTTTTTAAAATGTTTATATTTTATAAAGCCTTTTTCCATATATTCATATTTAAACTTTTAAGAATGAACATACACTAACATCGTCTGATAAGTTTATTTACAAACGATATATATGTTTGTGAAGGAGTATACACACGAATGAAATGATTGATCAAATAAAATCAGGTATCAAAAAAATTAATAAAAAACTAATTAATATTTTTTTCTTGGTTAATTTTACATTATATAAAAATCTAAACAATCACTTCTAACTTAGAATCTCTCTCTATCCAAATGTGGCAAAACATTCGGTTGAGATATTGCGTAAGAAGATTTGAAAAATATGAAAATGAATTTTTTCATTAATCAACAGTTACATCTTTACTTTTTTTTATACAAAGAAGAAACTAAGAACGAAGCTACAACCAAACAATTTGTTATAACAATTCTTACTACTTATTGTGTATTACAGTAATTACTAACTGTATTCACAACTTTGACCAGTTGAACTTTTAACCCAAAATATAAATATTGTTCCAATATCCCCTTTCAAGATGGACTTTTAAAAATGTTTTTTAAAAGTCATCTTGGATATGATAGGCTGCAACTTAGAAAAATGTAGAAGCTTTGTAAAAATATCTGCTAGTTGATTGGAGGTATGGATATGCATGAGTTTAACAGTTTTGTCCAATATTGTGTCCCTTATAAAATAACAATTCACTTCAATGTGTTTTGTCCTTTCATGAAAAATGGGATTATTAGCTAATTGAATCACAAAGTCATTGTCATAGAAAATAAAGTAGGAGTAGAACATGGAAAGCCAAAATCTCGTAACAGATGTCTTAACCAAATAAATTCTGAAGTAATAGAACCCAAAGCCCGATATTCGTCTTCTGTTGAGCTTTTGGAAACAATACATTGCTTTTTAGACCTCTATGATATTAAAGAATCTCCAAGGAAAACACAAAACCCTGTTATAAACCTTCTAGTATCCAGACATCCAGCCCATTTTAAATCACTAAAGGCTTTTAATTGTAAAGAGGATTTAGCTGGTAAAAATAATCCATGTCCTGGATTATTTCTTAGAAATCTAAGCAGGTGATGAGCAGCTTAACAATGATATTTTCTTGGTTATGACATCCCTTGACTCAATCTATGAACAACATAAGATATAGCGGGTCATGTAATTGTAAGATATAACAATCCTCCAATAAGTCTTCTATACTGTGTGTAACAACGTAAATTTTCAAAACAATTTTTCATTTTTCAAATAACATAAATCTTATTCAATATTCTCAAATCTCAAATTTAACAAATGTCATCATGATAAAACATATCCCAATATCATAAAATAAATCTTTTGCCAGTGTGTACGGATCATGTCGGTGCCTTCCCGCAATCATCGCTAGTACCTGAAACACATAACACATAACACTGTAAGCATAAATTCTTAGTGAGTTCCCTAAAATACCTCATACAACACATACACCACTCAAGGCCATAACTCTATGGGATCTTCCGATCCATATGTCTCAGGGGACTTCCGTCCCAACTTTGGTAGACCTTCTGGCCCTACCCGTGTGACCTTCCGGTCCTCATCATCTTGACCTTCCGGCCCGTACACTGTTAACCTTCCGGTCCATATCATGGTACTCTTAACATAGCATAACACATACATATCATTTAGCAACATATATCACATACTACGCATAGCATATAAGACCTTCCGGTCACACATAGTTACCACTCTAGGTAAAGTATAGTGAGAAGACTCACCTCTCATGATGTCTGGTAAACCTTCTGGCTTGATAACATCGATCGAGCCTCCGCCTAACACATAAGGCAAACATCTCTAATTAATACTTTCTCTTGACCTCATCCCTATAGAATGGGTAGAAGACCATTCTACCCCTCCCTGACCTCTCTTGAATTAGTATAACCAAAACCCTAAGGTCAACTGAAGTCAACTCTAGTTAACGGTCAAACTTTGGCCAGACTCGTCGAGTGCACTCAGGTGACTCAGCGAGTCCATGCTTGTCCTCTGAATCCTCCTAAGGTCTCACCCGACTCGTCGAGTTAACCTTTCACTCGACAGGTTACCACTGGTCACGAATCGCGAGACAACCCATCTCGACTCGGCAAATTTCCTCCATGGCCACACTCAAATGACTTTCTGAGGTCAAATATGTTTCCACAACATATAGATCTGACCTTCTAACACCCAATGGTCACGTAAAGGTCCAAACTTTATACACATGCAACACACATATATCTCTATATGGTGAAATAGCTCTAAAAATGGCATCCCAGATTCATAACTCCAATGGAACTGCATAAAGCTGGAACATTTGCGACTCTCTGGACCTCTTAAGGTCCAGATCTAATACTTATTCTACATTGGGACCTCATATGCATCATATACTGTCCAAGAAAGGGTAAAGAAAACCCTAGATTCAAGAATTTTTCACAATATGGAAGAAAGGGTCGAATTACTACCTCATAATGGAGATCCTTGCTTGAATGTCTCAGAATGGCATCCTCCTTTGGTCCTTCTAACTGAATCCCTTCTCTTCCTTTGCAAAATCACACCAAAACACTTGATTTCATCTTAAGAACTCTCCCTTGGCTCCAATGGCGGTTTAGGGTTTCTCACAAGAGATATGAGGCGCATCCAAGGTCATAAGTTCCTTTAAATAGGCTCCAACCCTGGAACTTAGGGTTTTCTCTGCCCAACACCTACTCGGCGAGTCCATACTTAGACTCGTCGAGTCCTCTCATTAAATACCCGCAATCAACTCGACGTGACTCGGCGAGTCAGACTCTCAACTCATCGAGTCCCTCCTAAATCCTCAAATTTTGAAACACAACCTAACATACTCGAAATCCCAAATGTTACATTGTGAAGGATCTTTCAAAATTTCTCCTTCAAAATCTGAAAATTTATGTCTAGGATCCATTGGGTAAGAAATTGGTTTTGCAGCTAACATTCTTATATCTTGTAATACATTAAGGACATATTGTCTTTGTGAAATAACATTTTGTAACGTCCTGTTTTTAGTTTATTATTATAAATAAATAAATAAAGGCAAGTGCTTATGCTAAACATATTTATAAAATTATCATAAGTTATATATAAATATATAGTAGCAAATTTGGTGTTACAAATAATCAAAAATATGTATAAAAGATTTGAATGGTTATATGGTTTAAATAGTTATAACTAAATTTAAATATAAAAGTAAAAATATATTCATTTTTAGAAAAACGTTATGTAAATAAAAGTTGTACTAATCAGAAATACCTACGAGTGGAAAAAAAGAATGTTGAAAACGGAACTCGTATGAAGAAGTTACAAACGTTTGAAGATGAAACATAAAACCTCGAAGTAAAATCTGGCAGCTGACCATTAGCGAGTGGCGGTGTGTGGTAGGTGTCGTTGGAAATATGAATCGACTTCCTCTAAGGTCAAGTTAGTTTCAGTGCCCGTAAGTGCAGTATTTGGTGCCAGATTTATGTCAAACACGTAGGAAATCACTAAAATGTTAATGGAGAAGTTAGGCCAAGAATATTTTAATCACAAGTTTTTACCTATAAATAAGAGGATAGCTACCTTCACCTCAAGAATTACAACAAATATTGTTCTAGTTTGGATATAATTTAGAAGCAAAAACCCGAGAGGCTATCAAGAGAATAAGCTCGAGAAACATACAAGTATCAATGGTTCATGTTCTTGTTCTGCGATTAAGGTGAGTTTTACTTTTCTATATGTGATACTCATGTACGTAGTTATCATAAGGCAAGTTCATGTTGAGATACGATGATAAATATTATTTACCATTATTTACTATTATTTACTATAGTAATTATGTGTAAACATGTTATATGTGTAATTTTTACTGGTTGGCGATAAAAATGTTGTGTTATATATTATGTATTAGTAAATGTCATTACTATGTTTATTATATGACATGCAAGATGAACTACTATACTTAAACAATAAATTTTCTAGGATTATTGTAGTTAAACAGTAAATATTTCAAAATTACTGTAGTAAAACAGTAATTATTTTTATAATGATTATTATGCACGTGGTATATATATATATATATATATATATTGTAAACTCACTAAGCGCTGGCTTATTAGATATTATTAACATTTTTACAAGACCTTATGGGGTATACAAGGGGAAGAATCCAGCTTGACTCTCGTGGCAACCACATTACTCTTGAAAATTATGTTTAAAAGTCTTCCCTGTTTATTTCAATAAATCATGTTTTATGTAATAAAGACAAAACTAGAATTATGTGTGATTGTTTAAATATTTAACATGTAAAGTATTTTATAAATGAATTTTATTTATATTCAAATGGGACCAATTCATATATTTTATTACCCTAGTAAATATTTATTTACTGTAGTAAAAATTTCAAAATTTTTATAAAAATGATTTAGAATGTTACAAGTTGGTATCAAATCTTTAGTTTAAGGGATTCTAATATATATCATTGTATATTGGAACTTAAATCGAAGCTTAATATTTTCAAGAAAAATAAAATTTTGGAAAAGTGTCAAAGTTATAAAAGAGAAAAGTAATGTGAGACGAGCAGTCAGTCAGAGTTCTTCAAAGGTATAAAACAGTATATTTTTATAATATGTATTACATCCAAGGAAATTTGATATATATATATATATATATATATATATATATATATATACACATGCTAGAAATGAATAGGATATAGATAAATATCCATATGATTATGTGTTTAATTGATATTAGCAATTAGTCACTAAATGCTTTTACACT